TGACTGAGACAGAGTTAATCCTGTGGTCACAGCTGTGTAGTCTTTACGGCTTCCTGTGATATTCCCGCATCTCTAACTCATGGTCTGTCTGTCTGTCTGTCTTTGTTGTTCCAGTTAAGCAGCTCACGCTTGCACATGAACTACTCTGATAGGAATAGTAGTCCAAACTTGTTCTGCAGCACCCCTTTTGTGAAATCTAATCATCAATGGAGAGGTGATAATCTTTTATGAGATATTGTTATGGCTTTATGATAAATGCTTTCAGACAATCTGAAGTCAGGTTTAGGATTACAGCCAGATCAGGCTATCCTGATTGTTTTTTATATTTAAGCTCAAATCTCATCAGGTAGAATCTTGTGCAGACAATCAATTTTAAAAAAGAAGATTAAACACAAATACTTAAGCCAGCAAAACTATTAACATTTAGACTGACAGTTTTCACACGGATCAAAAGTTATTTTTTTTTAAACTACAAACATTTTCTATCTGATTTTTTTTTTTATACAATTGCTGAAGTTTTGACTTTATGTATTTTTGGCAGAACAAGTTATTTTTAGACAGTTTAAAATAAAAGAAAACATCAATATGTACAAGTATGTTGTGCTACATACAGCCTTTGAACCCAACATGGCAACAATATGTATATCATGTCTAAAGTTTACTACAAATGCCCAAAAGACTGTATCTCTGTTAGTCTGTTAAAGTATCTTGTGAATTACTAGACAGATTTTAATGAAATTCTGGGAAAGTAATTATTGGATGTTCATGTACAACGGACTATTTACGGTGTGATTTGTTTTGATCCTGTCTGTATTCCACATTATTGGCCATTTAGTTATTATCTGCTGCTATTTATATCTATACTTTTATTTTATGTTTTCCTGTCCGCTGTGCTTGTTTGTTTCTATTGTACAGCACTTTGGTTGGCCTTGTTGCTGTTTAAAGTGCTCTATAAATAAATTGGTATGGTATTTGTTGGAGTTAATCCAATTCAGGGTAATAGCCATTTATTTATATTGCTTAAATGGTTATGGTTTGGTTTCCTAAAATGATTGGGTCAAAAATGTGCAAAGTATCAATGTTAGAAAAATTATTGGAAGTAATTACTCGGGAGTCCAGGACTGAAGTTGGACCAAAACATGTTAAGTTTACTTGGAGAGAGATACAGCCCTTACATTAATCAAACGACACCCCCACAAGCCACACAAGATGTCATCCTTACAGTAACATGGGCAGAACCTCTCTCCAACAATCAACACAGAAATACATTTATTTATATATTCCAAGTGTCCAAGAAGGACTCTCTCTCTTGTTTGAGGCTACTGTATATTCCATCCAGCTGGTGGAAACATACCATTGTTTTGGCTGCCTGGCTGAAAAACATGTTTTGTTTAATTAGTGGAAATGTGAAGGAAAGTTAACATACAAAATACTGTGTCTTGGTGTTGTTTTTCTTGATAGCACCTTTAGACTTACAAAGATTAACTTGGTAGAAAAACACTGATAATAGGGAAAAGGTTGCCTTCATCCATCTCATACATCTCTTGTCATCATTCTTTGTTGAAATCAGGTCTCTCTTGTAAATGAGTCCTCGAGGCTCAATGGGATTTACCTGTCTAAATAAAGGTTGAATGAAAAACATACTGTATGATATGCATAATTCTTCTTCAGCTAATTTCCAGTTTTGTATTTCGCTGCATCTAGGTGTAAGAAAGGTCACTACCAAACAAAGTGACAGATCAAAATCCAAGTTGGCCATCGCCATATATAAATATAAACTGGCCGACCTATCATGAGGAAACGATGCTTTCTCGTTTTTATATTACTAAAAGTATAGTTTCCCAACATGTCTGAGGTAGCCAATGATTAATCCACACTAGTCAAGACCACCATTGGCCATTCCCTGGCTCTACCATTGCACCTGGCGTTGAATGTTGGCGTTAACTCCAGTTTTACTGCAGCTGGGGTAACTGATGTTAACAGATGGATTAGAGTCCATGACAAAAAAGAACAGGCAACTTCTCAACCTTGCAACCTGGAATGTTCGCACTACAAATGACAAGGGATAGTAGAGTATAAGACCAGAACAAGCCACTGCAATTATTTGCAGCAAGCTTGCAAAAGCAAACATCATACACATTTTTTTTTCCTTGAGTGAAGTTAGATGCCCAAACTCTGGCAACATCAAACACAAGTGTTACACAATTTTTCCAGAACCTATAAATGACATACTAACAGCTCAGATCCCTCTAAAAGACAACATTCATCCCACCCTGATTAATGTTTGCTTACTAGCAATACAGCATTCAGTGGTTGAGAAGGAGCATTTCAATTTGAGATTTGGCAAATGTAAGGCCAAAGGAGACAGTGTAATTCTCTTGGGTGATTTCTAGGGGTGCACTGATAAATTAGCCGGCCAATTTATCAGCCCCGATTTCCTTAATTTTGGGAAATCGGCCGATACTTGAATGAGAAACCGATTTTACAGATTTTTTTTAAGTTTTAACAACAATTGTCTGAACTTCATTTATATTTCAGAGCACTACCTCATGTCCAGTTAAAACAAGTTTATATTGTTTCTAGGATATTGTTCAAGGGTATGTTTTTCAATAAAATAAGATAGGAAAATTGAATGTGCATTGTGACCTTATAACACCTGACAGTGTCGCTTAGAAAACAAAAGCGATATCGGCCAAAATTGGAATCGGCAGATCAGACATTTTAGAAATCGGTGATCGGTCAGAAAAATGCAATTGGTGCACCCCTAGTGACTTTAATGCTTGCATTGGGGAGGAGTGGAAATTGTGGCCCTCAGTCGTTGGAAAGCATGGAACAGGCAAGGTGAACTTGAATGCACACACTTTGACTTCTCAAGAATGGAAACAATTTTCCAACTTAAGAACCACCTTAAGAATACCATGGCAACATTTGCACTCAAAACACTGGCACTAAATTGACCATGTGGTAACAAACAAAACAGATAAGCATTTAGGAACGAAATGAATGGTTACAAGGAAAAGCATCTCAGGCAGAGCAATACACAAGAGAGAAGAATCAGAGATTTATGATACTCTCACTGCTGTTTATGTATTCAAATTCAAAAACCTAGCTCCAGGCAAGGGTGGGGAATTATTTAATCCACAACCAGAACTGTGGAAGCTGCATATGTAAGTGCTGAAAGGTCCAGCTTGTCAGGCAAAGGCCTACGCTCTGCTGTGGTAGCAACAATCCAGATAGCAAGGGCACCCTCCACTAGAGGATTATATGCCTACAAATTCCAAGCCTTTGAGAAGTGATCTGAGGTCCAGCACATTATCCCAGATCAGTGCGCAATGATAGATGTTTTAATGTTTCTGCAGAGGCTGTTGAATAGGTTTCTGAAATGGATGTAACTGGGACCCTGTGTACACAATTTCATTCCACCACATGTGGTGCAAATGACAAATAAAGAAACTTTCTGGTTTTCCACATTTAATGTTTACCTGGTGTAATTTTCTGCCTGCCATGTTGGTTTTGTTGGAATCAGACAAGGCACTCATTCTCTGGCTATGGATTTCTTCAGGACTAGACTGAACCCCATTGCCAAACCCAATGTTCTGTCCTGGGAGCTTACATTGATGCTTGGGATCTTTGTGAACCTGCATTTGAACCTTTGGAATTGGTAGATTTGAAGTTTCTTTTATATAAAGTTCTGCTGCTTCTTGCACAGACAACTGAGAAGCGACTTGGAACTTCCATGCTCTGTCTGCAGTATATTTTTCTAAAGTTATTCCTTAGGACTACAGCTCCATGACCTCCATTTAGAGGGGTGCCCATGAATGACATCTGTGCTGCTGTCAGCTAGTCACTGTTGTCATCATGTTATTTGCCTTAAGGTGTGATTAGAGGTGTCTTTAGCCAGGACACATGTTCTATACTTCATGTGTTGTACTTTCAAAAAGCGTTCAATACAAAAACAACTGGACTTTATTTGTAACAGAAGACGTTTCGCTCCTCATCCGAGGAGCTTTTTCAATTAAATGAGCAGTAAGTGAGAGATTCACGTTAGATTCAGATTCACTCACTGCTCATTGAATTGAAAAAGCTCCTCGGATGAGGAGCGAAACGTCTTCTGTTACAAATAAAGTCCAGTTGTTTTTGTATTGAACGCTTTTTGAATTCATGTCCTGGATGACTGAGAATCTTCACCAGCATGTGTTGTACTTTGTTCCTCTCCTACAGTGAACAGTAGTTATATGCATAAAATTACATTTCCAGGAGTCCAACAGATTCGTTCACCAATGTGTGCAAGTTTTCCAAGACGAACATGACCCATAACCTCTCAAATGGCCGTAGAATGGAGGTAAACATCCTAGCCACCAGCTTTCCCACAATCCAGAAAAGAAAAAGCATGTAAAGGAAATGGAAGAATGGAGGTTTGGAAAAGAAATGCACATATAAAACAGCCATCATTCACAGGGTAAATATCATATAGCAGGTGTTTCTGAATCTATAAAGCTCCTACTGAACTCACAGTCATTAAAGAAGATAACTAAGGACTTTTAATCCTTAGGATCAACATTTGAGACGTTGTTATTGATGTTGGCCTGAATATGTAAAAAAAGTATGCATGCTTTATCTTTCGATCAAGCTCTACAGATGCAAATTAACAACATCCCTCAACTGTAATTACCAAAACATATAGGGCAACCTTTTACTTTAATTAAAGGAGTTATGCAATTTTCTATAAATAAGGAACCACACTATTATAGTGTGTACAATCCTGTGTCAATTTGAATAAACATTGTGACCTTAACTGTATTTCACTGGCCTTAATGGTTTATGGATCTTTTTTTTTCCATTTTTGCACAAAGATGTTGAACAGATTGAGCTACTACTGCACAAAAAAACATTTTAGCAAAAAGGTAAATCTTTGATTTTCAGATTCTTTAAAAGCTTTTAGGGTCTTTACATTGACTAAAGTATAGTGTCAACAGCATTTAGTTTTAACATTTTCCTACCTGGTGAAGACAGGAAGTTGCGACTGGATGACTTGAACCCTTATGATGACAAGCAGCAGGGTGCTGATGATGAGGACAATGAGCTTCAGCAGCGTTTGCAGGACAACACAAGGGAATCCATCTTTACCCCGCAGGACTTGCCGCAAAGTGTCCAGCAGCATGGGTAGTGTGAACTACAAGTGATAAAAGATGAGACAGGAAATTAAATAAATAATGAATATTCTTTCATTCAACATTCATTCAAGTGTTGGATTTCAACATTCTTAATGTTTATGTTTTTGGTCCTAAATTAAAAAATAAATCATCTGAACAGTGCAAGATAAACACGCACAAAACAAACAAACAAACAAACAAAAAAAATGGATGCATTGCACCAGATTTAGTCTTAGTTATACATTTTTTTTCTTTTGACAGATTTTTTTTTCTGCACCCAGAGATTACAACGTTTAATAAATTACTATGTCATCACCTTCATAAAGAGGTGGGCGGTTCTGTTGGGGTAGTGGGGTGTCCCCCATGGCTTGATGCAGGTGAGCTTACCTGCGGTTTTTCTCTGCAGCTCACACTCAGGCTCACCGTGAACCAGACGGCACGACCCGCAACGCTCTGCTCTGATTGGGTCAAACTGTGGCTCTGGTTCTCTTTATTGGTTGAAAATAGCGTTGGTTTAATTCCTGTATCATCTTTAGATTACCGTAGATGGATTTAACAAGACCACAAAATACTTTTTCTTGCCCCTCCTCATTTTTACACATGATGGTAATCTGACCAGGCCACGTTCAAAATGACAGAAATCCAATGCAGCGACGGATAAATTTAATCCATGTTTCTACCTTTACGTTCTCCACAGACCTCATCACCCTGATGTTACAGTACTAGATGTACTACTAGAAACCTTAAAAAATACCTCCAGTGTACCAAGAACAGTAAACTCCCTTCTTGTTTTATGTTCCATTGACAGTACATAAAAATCAGTAGCTTAGAAACACTGACCTCTTTGAATACTCTCACAATTCGTTTACAAACTGATCTTCAGTAAAGATGCTGCAGAACATCACTGAATGTGTCATCTAAAAACATCAGACATAGCCTGAACGTTCTCTGTCTTTTTTTAAACCATTACCCTTGTGTGGCTCTGATTTATAGTATAATTATAAAAAAAAACAACCTTATTTATAAGTTTAGTTAATTTGACCAGAACTCCCTTGAAGATGATATCTTCTATCCTTTAAACTAAATTAAGGACTTTTTTGTTTTTAAGTTCTGGTTTCTCAACGAATGTTACATTTTCTGAGAGCTTGAAGACGAGGACATTTCCATACCCCTTGTGCAACGAACACTTCATGGACACAGCAGATGCCGATCACAGTGATTCCCTGCTCCTTGCATAGTGTTGCTGCAGCCACCAGGACTACAGTCAGAGTGATGGGAGGCCAAACTGAAAGACAGCAAAGCAAACACATAATTCTATACGATCTCGGATACATGCTCCATTATGTATAAATCTGCTAAGTATTTACAACTGAATCAGTCCCCACAGAGTCTTAGTTCTTAAGTTACTGAATATAAATGTAGATGCATGAACAGACAGCTTGCCATGACTGAGTAATCTGTTCTGTCACCTAAAGCGTACTTGTTATCATAATAACAGAACAGATTGCAGTCAGTCATGGCAAGGTGTGCAGTTCAGTCCACATACACCCATAAGATAATACATTTTCTAACTTTAATCAGTTGACGTGAGCAGGTGGTTGGTATCAAAGGCACAGTTTTATCCTGGTTTGGATCCTACCTGACTGACGGAAGTTTTTCTGTTCATTTAGGGGAACGCTCTTCATGTGTGACTCCTCCAATTTGTGGGGTCCCTCAAGGATCTATTTTAGGTTCACTGCTTTTTAATCTTTACATGTTGCCTTTAGGGTCCATTTTTAGAAAACAGAATCCCTTTTTATTGCTTCGCTGATGATATTTAGTTGTATCTTCCCATTGAGTCAGACGGGTCACTCCAGTGGATCCACTCTTGAACTGTCTAAATGACATTAAAGTCTGGTTAAAACTAAATTTTCTGAATTTAAATGACAATAAAACTGAAGTCACCAGCTTTGGTAAATGTTAACGCCCTTGACACTCTTGGCCCCTCGGCTTCATAGAACCACTCCCCTGTCAGGAATCTGGGAGTTATTTTTGATAGTGCTTTTAAATTACAGGTAGACAAACAGATAAATGCAGTTGTGAAATTCAGTTTCTTCCAACTAAGACTCATTGCCAAGGTGAAGTATTGTCTCTCTTTCAGAGACCTTGAAAAGGTGATTGATGCTTTTACCTCTCGTTTGAACTATTGTAATTCATTGTATGTTGGTTTAGATCAGGGATACTCGTTGCATGGCTCCCGAGCCACATGCGGTTTGCCATGCTTTATTGGTGGCTCTCGTGACAGGTTACAACAATACACCAGCACAGAAAATACATTTTTAAAACGTGTTGGCGCATTGTGCAATAATTGCGCATGTCGGATCGGGCTTCTATGATGCGGTTTTATGAATCATACAGCGCAAAGAAAACTAAATAAGAATGCACAATATAAAATTGTGTTAATCTAGTTGTTGAGGAGGAGGTCGACTGGCTGGTAGAGGTAAAAATAAGTCCTCACCGGCCACGCGTGTCCACTGACCTGCCGGTCAAAAGACGTAAAAAATGTCCTGTTAACCTCAGACGGATCAGCTGATCACCGGCCGCGCGCGTCTCTGCACCTGCTATCATCTGTGGTGAAGGAAGTAAGAGCATCTTACAGGGCCAGTTCTAGGCATGGTCACATGAGGGGGCAGGCGGAAATGTGACGGGGGCATCGTTATCCGTACACATATTATAGCATATTCATTGTTGAGAAAGGACATTGGTATTATACTGGTATTATTGTAGACTGGTATTTTCTTCATGGGATTGGGGTAATAGCTAAAAGCTGAAATTTTTACAGTCAACATTTTCAACCATGAACATGATCAAGCAAAAACAGGGAAACCAAATGACCCATGCCCATCTTGAATGCCTCACTGTGGTGGCAACAACAAATTACAAACACAACATGAAGAAAGTCAAGGACATGCACCACAGCTTCCACTCATCTCAGTACTAAGGTACATTTTGTTTAAACAGATAATGTGCTGGCTGTGTTTCTTTTTTATTCATAGGTGAGTTGTTCCATTTTTTTTCTTTTACTTAGGTGACTTGGGGTGATATTGAGGCTCTCCCCTTGACTTTGTTCTGTCAATATGGCTCTTGTTTACATGCATTGTTTACAGACTGTCCAGAACGCAGCAGCTCGTCTTTTAACAGCAACTAGAAAACACGATCACATAACCCCTGCCCTGGATTCTCTCCACTGACTTCCTGTCCACTTCAGGATTGATTTGAAGATTTTATTGCTTGTTTTTAAAAAGTCTTTAAAGGTCTGGCCCGGTCTTATTTATGTGGACTTCTTAACATCTACACTCCAGTAAGAGCACTCCGGTCTAACAACCAGTTCCTCTTAAAAGTCTCCAGATCCAAACTGAAGTCCAGCGGTGATCAGGCTTTTGTGGTTGCTGCTCCAAAACTGTGCAACAGTTTACCGCATCATTTAAAGACCGCTGAGACTTTTACATCTTTGCTCAAGACTCATCTGTTTTCCTTGGCATTTGATCCATGCACAGCCTGAGAACAAGTTAAGAGATGGTTTTTATTGTTGTTGTGTTTTATTGTTAACTTTCTTATTTTCTGAGTGGCACAAGATGTGTTTTTTTGCTCTTTTTAATCTGACTTAACCGTAAAGCACTTTGGTCAGCTTTTGTTATTTTGTTATTAACTTCACGCAGACTCTCTCACTGGTACATTTTCATCTTTAAATCACTTCTTGTTCCGTTTTCTTCATACATCTCCTCCTACATGTTTCTGTGTGAGTGCAGCTACAGCGTGCGCTCTCAGGACATTATTACCTGCAGTGTCCCCTCAGTGCAGACTGAACTAGGTAAAAGGGCCTTCTCCTACTCGGCTCCTGTTTCCTGGAATATCTTGTAAAAAGATATTAAGTTCTCGACACTGACCTCTCTAAGTGGCTTCAAACATCTGTTAAGTTCATGACAAAAGCCAACGCAGACATGTTCCTGTGTTTAGTATTGTATATCGCTTTATAATGTAGCTGTTTACATCATTTTCTTCCATTTATTGTTTTTTTCAATTTATTTGCTTTCTTTTAAGAATGTGTACTGTTGTCATCATTCTTTGTTAAAAACAGATCTCTCTTGTAAATGAGTCCTACTGAATACATTCATTCATAAATATTGCAACCCACTGAAGTGTGTGTTTTCTATAACAAGGACTTTTGAAAAATTCTTTGAGAAGCCCCGAAGAATATACTGAAGTGAGAAATGCTTTACATTTTGTAAATAAATCATCAATGCCATTGTCAATTTATTTCTATAGCACATAAAAACAACAATTCAATTTAATCCAATTCAACCTTCATTTATACAGGTTAGTCTCATTGAGCCTTGAGGACTCATTGTGATCAAATATGAAAAATAAAATAAATAAATAATTCTGTCCAATTTGTCTAGTTTGCCTGTACAACCACTCACTCTCTCACTCACATCTAGGGACAATTTAGTTACCAATCAGCCTAAAACAGAGGTTTTAAAAGTTCCAAGTACTTTTGATGACAAGAAAGTCCATAAATTTGAATTTTCATCCATGACAAACAGCATAGTGTGATGTTTGAGTCAAAATTTGATTAATAGTAATACAACTCCTAAACGTTGAAACTGAAAAGTTGTTTATGCTCTTATATCACTTTGTTATATTAGTAAGGGTGATTGTTTTTTTTTAATTATAGCACATGTAGTCCTTAGCCCATTACAAAATCACTTAAATATTGTCATTTAAATTTGACAGTTTTTTAAATTCTGTTTAATTATATGTATTCCTTGCATAGAAACAAGTATATGAATACTAAAATCAAGCTAACAATGATATATTACTGATAATATATTCTTATATATATATATATATATATATATATATATATATATATATATATATGTGTAGTGAACCTAACCTGATGTCAAACTAAGCCTAAGGTCAAAACACTTGACCTTAAGAACCTTGTGGGACAGAAACTGTTATTTCATTGATCTGCATCCAGAAATACAGTTTGACCCATCCTGAGACTTTCTTTCTTGAATTAATCAAGTAGAAATGACAATTCTCTATGATCATTACTATTTTACAAATGTTTGATAATCAAATTGTGTTAGTTCAAACAATGTTTACAGCTTGTGAAGAGAACTACTCATTTTTATTTACATAAACAGTAAGTAATGATTTTTATTCCTCATTCAAAGAAGAAATCAGGGTAATATGCATTTCTTGATTTTTCTGTCTTCAATGAGCAAATTTGTAAGTGTGTTAAGGTTCAAGTTTCGGTCAACTAAAAGTTTACTGAAAAAGAAATGTCATGTTTAACTTTTACAGAAGATACAGGAGAGTTTGACTCCACGAAGTCTGGTTTTCTCCAATAATCTTTCTGTCTGTTTTAAACAAACTTAATCTCTGTCCTTGACTTTGATAACACCTTACATCACAAACCACACCTCTTTTCTGGTCTATCCACCAATTAGAAAGCTCTCAAATGAACCGGAAGTCGACCCATTTAAATGTGGCAACTTCCCAGTTCAACTCCAGCTGGTGCGCTCTGAAATGAGTTCAACATGGGAGTTTTCAGAGCTTGAAAGTTTTTTCCTGGAGAAGAGTTCCAGACTTTAACTCTCTGAAGAGAGTTAAAGAGTTCAGAGTTCTTGGATGCTAACGCAGGCGTCCAGGATGCTTCTATTGGAATCCAGAATGCAGGGACGATTTTGGGAATTATAACTTCTGTTTGGATAACCTCGCACGACTCTCGAAGTATTTTAGCTGTTCTCAACGGAGACGCTGAAAGAGTCAAAGGAAGGATTCTATACCGACGCTGATCTATCATCAACCAGGTAAAAGTTCTACTTCGACCAAGCGTACCGTGACCAAGCTGAGAACTGAAGGAGCGTGCACGTTTCTGGTCAAACAGATTAATTCCCTCACACATCTCTCTGTAAGATAAATCTCCATTTTCCATCTTAAACTCTCCTTTCTCCTAAAATCATTACAGATATTTTAGAAATATCTGAAGCAAAGTTCTCAATCACCGCCGTGTGACTGATGTCTGCTGTTCTGCTGAGAAGTGAGGACAATCGCCGTATTGTGCCCACTTTCTGTGAAACTAGCCATGTTATTGTTTTCATATTTTGCCAAATTAATGTAAATGTTTGATGTTAAACTTTGATTCTGCAAATAAATGACCGCATTCATTTTGATGGGTCAAAGATAAATAACGTCTCTCGTTACATTTCTGTTAAACTCAATGCACGACATTTACACAGTCAGAAAAATGAAGAACTCGCAAAATGTATGAATATATCTGTGCATATGTCATACTACATATGGAACTATACATGAGTAGGGTTAAATACGTTTATACCTCTTCCTACTCCTTTTAGACAAATAAAATGTAGCAATTTCCCTATTTACTTATTTGTTTGAAGGATTTATTTTTATTTTTATTTTAATGTATGTTTTAACATTTGTATGGATCTACTTACGTATTCATTGTGTATTATTTGTTGTAAGGTTGTTTTAACCTGTTTGACATAAATACTACTACTAAAAAAAATTACTTGTGTAGAGAAATGAAGGCGATATAGCAAAGGTTTTGGAATATACATTTTTGGAAAGAAATCAATTTTGTATGTCGGACACAAAATGAGCAAAAGTCCCACAGACTTACCAATTGAGTTGTCAGAGCCAGTTGATTTTGTGTATGCCAAAAAAGCAGCCAGGAGGAAAATTGAAGAAAGAAGTTCAGCTCTGCCAACCACACCGGTGACCTGATGAGAAAAAAAACGACACAAGTTGGTCCTTTAGTTTGTCTTTGTACTTTAAGGTATTTTAAGTAAAATGCCAAAAGATCTGAGTTACTTTGTCCTTTTGAGCCAACAACTATTTGAAGCACATGCAAGATGAAAGTGGACTGCTGCTTTATGTCAAACATTTTACAGCGGTTTGTGGTAACATCCATAAATATATTATATTTTACCCACTTCTTCCTTTTCGGGTCACTGGTGCACATACCCAGCAGTCACTGTGCGAGAGGTGGGGGACACCCTGGACAGGTCTCCAGTCCATCACAGGGACACATGAGACAAACAACCACTCACTCTCTCACTCACACCTAGGGCCAATTTAGTTACCAATCAGCCTAACATGCATGTTTTTAGTGTGGGAGGAAACTGGAGTACCCGGAGAAAACCTACACATGCCCTGAGAGAACATGCACCAGTCAATTTAACATTACAGCTATCAATGCAGAAATATGCTAAACAAAACATATTTTTAAGTGCTCCAGATTGTTCAGGAAGTGCTTTAACAAGCTGCGTATGCTATTTGAGCTTGTTAAAGAAAACAAAAAACATACAATTCTGTGTAGGTGATTAATGCAAAACGGATGATGTGAAAGTTCATAAAATAGTGTTTCCACTAATTGCACTAAAATACTTGAGATTTGAGTTGTTTTAGGATGGCAGCAATCCATTTTGGTATTGGCTCTGCTCCCAGTTGCCATTAGCTCATTGAAGCAGTCGGAATTAATCTGTTTTTCCTTCAGAACTGAAGAACAATCTACAGCAAGTAAGCTAGAAGTTATTCTTAATTTTTCTAAAGAATACTTTTTGTGCCATGATAGAACATTTAACTGCAAAGCTGAAATGTTGGGGGAAGTTTTTTGTAATCCGTTGTTCATTTCTGACCTGCAGTAAACAAGGTCTGGTAGAATGAAATAATACACTATTAGTATGATAGTATGACTAATCACATGACACCGTCCTTCCAGACTCCCAGGTGTCTAAACATCCATTCCAAATAAATCATCAGCATCTGAGTAAGTCATTGACAGAAATGTAGTAGCACATTCCACAACAAGATACTTAACACACATAAAAAACACTAGGCTACTGAGAGTTGAACACGTCGTCTACGACTGAACTGAACTCTTGAATCCAGCTGTGAAAACAAGTCTGTTCAAGTAAATCATTTCAGCAGATGCAAAGCACCTCATACCTCTTAAAGAAAGTCTACTTGACAGTGACTTTTGTAATTTATCTAAATTATGACTGCCCTCGTGTGGAAGAAACAACATTCTCAGTTCTATCAAATCCCTACTTTATTCCAAAACGCCACTTATTCCAAGTGTATAAAAACGCATCCCAAATGACACTGCATTTACTACTGACAGCTCCTTTAGCTGCAATAACTTAGTAAATGTTTTCTGTTAGGGTGGCACAGTTGAGCTGCTGCCTGTCAGTGAGCAGGTTGCCGGATCAAATCCCGGCTGGGGGTCTTTCTGCGTGGAGTTTGCACGTTCTCTGTGCATGCGTGTTTTCTCCAGGCACTCCACAGTTTCCTCCAGCAGACCAAAAACATGCATGTTAGGCTAATTAGCAACTCTAAATTGTCTCTAGGTGTGAATGAGAGAATGAATGGTTGTTTGTTTGCAGTGCACTGAGAGTAATTATGTTGTGATTTGGATTTATATGTCTCTATGTGGCTTTGTGATGGATTTGCCACCTGTCTAGGGTGTAGCCCGCCTCTCGCACAGTGACTGCTGGATGTGTGCACCAGTGACTCCTGCAACCTGAGAAGGAAGAAGCAGATAAAAGATAATGGATGGTTGGATGTTATTTGTTACCTTTATCATTCCCACTCATGGTTGTGGAGAAATTCTGGCCAACTTGGTTTTTTTTTAGTAAACAAGCAAACAACATTGCTTCAGTTTATTAGGGTTTGAAGACATTTGTACTCAAAGAACTCTCTTATGCTCCTATCACAACAATTAAATCAGGATGAGATTTGGGCATTGACAGGGCCAATTAGCAGCATTAACTTGGAATAATCAACAGTCAATATGAGAAACTACCAGTCACTCATATTGTTGTGGAGTAATTGTGGCCCACCCTTCTTTCAGAGTTGATTGATTATTTACAAGTTAATTCTTTTAGCTCATCTCTTTTGAGGTACTCCTCAAAAGGGATGTGGGGTGTCCACAAAAATAACTTTTAGTGGACATCCTGATGTATGCTCAGTGGACATGTTACACAACATTTCCTCACCCATCAAACACACACTTACTGCCTCTGTGTGGATGGGATGCACAGCAAAAAGCAATGCCGCCACAAAGCTCGAAGTCTTGTCCAAAAACAGTCGGCAAACTCGCAGGAAAAGCACACACACAACGGCGTGTAAAATGACGTTTAGCAGGTGATACGAAGCTGCTCTCAGTTCACTGAAGAGGTAGTTCAGTCGGAAAGTAAGCACCGTCAAGGGCCTGTAAGATTTATGGCTTCGTTCCTACGAAAAGACAATGTCAGATGCTGGTTGGTACACTGAAACAGTTAAATCTTTCAAATCAATAATACAGTCTTTATTTTACATGTAGCTAAAGTGTTTGATTCAGTGTGCAATTTTTTAGCAACATAAAAATGCAAAAATGTCAGTGCGCATAATGCTAAATAAGATACTTTAAAAATAATTAACTTTAATAAATTAAAATGTTATGTTCTGCTTGGGGACAAATAAATCAATCTTGGACCACGACTTGCCTCAGCCATGGGTGTGCCCCAAAAATCATTGAGGAACATATTGCGGAGGGGAGTTGAGGGCCGGAGGTCCTTGTTGTCCAGGATAGCCGAGACATCGTCAAATACAAATCCACATGAAAGGCAGTTCCAGTAACATCCCACCACCAGCCCAGTCAGAAGTAAAATCTCCTTCCATGAAACGACAGCCATTGCAGGCAAAAACCCACATTGATCACTGTGCAAGAGAGCAAAACAGGATTTAACATGCATTAAAACATATCAAAACAAGCAGTCTTTCCTTTAATAAAAACCCCTGGTTGGACTCCAGTCTTCAGGCAACCAAGCCTACACATGAACAGAACTTCACAAATAACTTTGAATTGGGGCATTTAGTTTCCCTAATTCTCCATTTGTGGAGGCAAATCACTTAGCCACCTTTGCGCAAAACTCTCCGACTGATTCAGATATTTTTTTAGGCTTAAAGGAGAAAGTAGGACTTCTCAATAATTGAAAAAAAAACAAACAAAAAAAAACTGTCTAGAAATTGGCTTCTGCTGAAACACAGCCACCGGCACTGTAACACCTGGCAGCAAAAACAGCAATGACAAGTGAACTTGCATAACAACATTGCAAAGCAATAGCCGTTTGAATAAATAAACACGAGAATGTCGTTATTTATTCGTAGCAACAACACTGCTAAGAATGAAAAACTTAATTTTCGTTGCTTTAAAGTTTAACGTACCCTCAATTACTTAGCGGCTAACGCTAACCCGTCTTTAGGATGGATTAAAGTTGAGAATATAAGTATTTAGGTTAGTCTTACCAATGATATATTAGGGCAGGCAACGGTGAAAGCAAAACTTATTTCAATATCTTGTGACGGTTTCACACACTGGTAGGACATAACTGAACATAAGGTATTCCAGTTGAGCCAAATAGCTAACTCAGTTAGCTTATTAGCGTCGCTAACATCACTTCCGGTGATTACTTCCGGTGCAAAGGTGAACGCGCGCAAGTAAGTCAAACATTAGCTAAAGCTGGACTACAGCTTGTTTTGACGTCTTCAAGTTCTTTTCAACCAACTCCATGTTGTTAAACGCGACAATTTTTGTGTTATAATGCTATATTGGATATATCGCCACGGTTTTGTTAGCTTTTTATGCGACAGTTGACGTACATTTTTGCAGCTGTTGTTGTCAGCTGTAACCTAGCAGCAGCATCCTTACTGGAAACCTGAAGATGGACTTCACTTTAATCTATTTTAAACCCATTTTCCCTCCGTGGGCCATCATTAACAGGGTCACCTAAGCTGTTGTATGTTTTAAAGTGACGTTAGACACATTTTTCGTAGCCACGATTAGTGTTTTTAAACTTTACTTGACATCAACATATGGAGGAGCCCAGCAGTTTTCAACCACAGCTGGTCAACAGTGTTTCTCATCCACGGTAATCTGGTCAACAGTGTTTCTCATCCACAGTAATCTGGTCAACAGTGTTTCTCATCCACAGTAAGCTGGTCAACAGTGTTTCTCATCCACAGTAATCTGGTCAACAGTGTTTC